CCCCCCCCCCCCCCCCCCCCCCCCCCGGCAGAAGAAGTGTGAATGGGTCCAGATCTGCTTGGACATCTGAAACAGAAAAAATTTCAGAAATAGTCTCATAGACAGAGGGCCAAGACCTGTGTGGTAATATCCATGAAACATGGCTTTGGGTGGATAACAAGGGCAGTAGAGTAACCCTTTCTGATCACTCTCTGAGTCTCTTGATATCATGAGCTTTCAGCCCATTGTCAAAGTACCAAAAACTTCCATGCTCAGCCTGGAAAAGGGAGACACCCTTGCTTTTGGCAAGCACCTAGTTCACTCTGAACACATGGCACATTGCCTCATTAGATGACCTCAGAGCCATGTGCAGGTCCCAGAACTGAGATACTGAAGCAGGGTGGTCATGCTGACCCAGAGAGAAGCTCAAGTGAAGATACAAAAAACCATCGCAATGAAATGTCCATAATAGGCAAATCCACAGAGATGGAAAGTAGATTAGTGTTGCCAGGGGCTGGAGGAAAGTGAAAATGGAGAGCGACTGCTAATGGGTAGGGGGTTTCTTTTGGGGTGATGAATATGTTCTAGAATTGACAGTGGTGATAGTTGCACAAGTCTGTGAATATACTAAAAACCACCGAATTCTACACTTTAAAGGGTGAATTTTATGGCGTGTGAATTATATCTCAACTTTTTTTAATTGCAGAAGAAAAAAATCTTTAGTGACCCCTGCAGCAGCTGGGGGAACTCTAAAATCTGAACTCTGCTAAGCAGCTCACACACCCCAGGTGCATAGTTTGGGACCCTGGCAGTATGAAGGAGCCTTTGTCCTGATAAGAACTACCAGTCTGAGGAGACATCAGGGCTGTTGGCACTGGCCACAGCAATACTCTGTGCCTGATCCTGTCCTATCAGTTACTGCCTGAATAAGCAAAACCGAGCACCACGAGTTCGTATTACTCTTACTGCCTTGCCAACCTGCAAGGAGAGCCAGGGTGCAGGGTCTACTCAAAACCTCCCAGATACCCAGAGCACCACGAGTTCGTATTACTCTTACTGCCTTGCCAACCTGCAAGGAGAGCCAGGGTGCATGGTCTACTCAAAACCTCCCAGATACCCGTCTCTTAGCTCTTTATCTTTGGTATGAATTTCAAAAGCTGTATCAAATACTCAATTGCCCCTACACTGGGCCAGGCCTTAGGTTGGGTGTTGGGTTCACACAGAGGCCACTCATGAGCTCAATGAGGGGAGGCAACTCTGACCCTCATCTCAACCCCTGACAATTCACCCTTCCTCATGACAGCAGGCACAGAGGCCTGTGAGGAGGAGGGATGAGTTAGAGAAGGTGAGAAGTGCCCATGCTGCAGCCAGCATTAGGAACATAATCAGGACTGAAGCGGAGGTCATGGGCTCATCAGTGTAGGGTGGGGAAGTCTTGCCCCAGGCCCAGCCCAGGCTGCTTTATGAATCGAACTGCTGGATTCCACTGGAGTATTAAAAAACCTAAATATTTATTTGCTTCATATTTACAAAGGTGGGAAGGAGACTGAGGGAGACCCCAACAACACTCCCACACCTGGCTGGCCAGGTCCCCTGCAGAGGAGGCAAACACAGCTGGAAGGAACAGGATTTATGTTGCATACTTGAACTACAGCGAGTGTAAGACTGGTCCTATTCACAGGGCAAAAACACTACAGGTGGAGCATGGGGATGGTAGAGCAAGCATCAGAGTCCTGGCCAGTGGTGCCCCTGCTTGCCGTCTTTTCCACCTCTCCCAGAGGCATCTCTGCATCCCCATTGGGGTTCTCTGGAGGGGACAGGGCTCGCTCACATGATGCTCGCCGGGGTGAAGACAGGGCCCACACACAATGTGTCTGTTATCTCCCAGCCGCAGGACAGAGGCTTGCACACACCCTCGGCGTCCTCATCCTGTTCTGCAGACATTAGCTGCCCTCGCAGTGCTTCCCTGCAGGTGAGAGAGGGGCATTGGAGGCAGCCAGCATGAGATCCGCAGGCCTGGGGTTTCCCGATGCCCCCTGCACATGTAGACCTGTCCCCATTAGGCACAAGGCTCTCACCTGAGCCCCAGAGCCCAGCTGAGGGCAGGGGAAGGGGCAGGCTGCTTTTCCCCACTGCTCTCTTTTCCCCTGTAGTCCCCACATCCCAAAAAGGGAAAGGAACCCACATTTACTGTGCCAGATGCTACACCTACATTATCTAATTGTATCCTCCCAAAAACCTCATGAGGGAGACATTATCATCCCAATGATACTGATGAGAAAATTGAGACTCAGAGAGAAGTGACCTGCCCAAGATCACATCCGTACTAGGTAATACAACTAGGATAGAACCCAACACTCATTCCAAAGCCCACATTCTTCATACCCCAGGCTTAGGACTTAAAAAAAATAAAACATCTGTTCTTCTCAAACAATTCCACAAACTGATTCTCCTCCTATGTATGTACCTATGTTGATAAACCGCTCCACAGTTGGGAATCTTGTTCCCAGCCCCATCAATCCCTGCCAGCCCAGCTCCAGAGGACCTCACGCGTACCCTCTTGTTTCCCACTATCACCCCATCTACATCTGGGACCGCGCAGTCTCCCAGATCTGCTGTTGCCCCCTCCAGACAGTTTTCAGCACTGGCCCATGTTTATCTTTTCAAAGGCAAATCCCTGCTCTTGAGCTACCAGCAGTTTCCCTCCACTCTCAGAACCTGCAAGATCCAGCCCCTGCCCACCTCTCCCACCATACTCCCAGCCACACCCGCCCACACTACCTGGGTGTCATCTGTGATAGCCATCTTTTGGGCTGTCACACACATAGTATCCCAGGCCTGTGCCCATGCTTATCCCTCTGCCTGCATCATCAACCCTCACCTGACTAATTCCTTCAGGTCTTCAGTGACAATCTCAGGGAAGCCAGGACACAGCAGAGTCTCACACACAGTGCACCTCTCCTCGATCATAATAAGTGTTCAATATCTGTGTCCCTGACATTCCTTCAACTACAGCAGGGCAGAGAATACATCTGAGTTACTGCTGGTACCCCCAGCAGCAGGCTGGCACCTGGCAAGCACTCACTCAGTAAGAGGGGGTGGACGCTGGGTGGGAGGATGGGATGAGCACTGGGTTCAGCATCAGGAAGCCTGGAGGGACCATGCCTGCTTGTCCTTTGCTTCTGCTGCATTCTGCTTCCCCACCAAACCCTCTTCTATGCAGGTCCCACCTTCACTCCTTTCATACTTCCAGCGCATTCCAGTCCCCCCCACCTGCAGGAAGGCCTCCCTCTTTGCTGATGCATACAATTCAATAGCAAATCAGTGGTCAGTATCTTTATACACAGCCCAGTCAGGCTGGTCTCTTTCTTGTGGGAGGCTCTCTGGGCCAAACACCCTCTGGCTGAGCCTCTGTCTCATCTTTAAAAATGGGCTGGTCCAGTTCCTTAAAATCCCTCAGTGGTACCCTACTGCCTTCAAGATCAAGTCCATTCTGGGCCTCCAGGATCCTTCTTGATCCAGTCTTCCCCACATGCCACTCCCTCCATGTACACAGAGCTATTTGCAATTCTTTGAATAACTGGACTCTTTTTTTTTTTTTTTTTTTAAACCCTTAGTTAAATCAGATCACAGACCGGCAACGGATCGCAACCCTCAGTGTTGCGCCCGTACCGGACAGGGACCGGCAATGGGACCGCAACCCTCGGTGCCGCACCCGCACCTCGCTCAGCCAGTGAGCGGCCGGTCCGTACGTGGGATCCGAACCCTCGGCGGGAGCGCCGCCACCCTCCCAAGCGGCGCACTGTAGTAGTGCGCCACCGGGCCAGCCCAAATAACTGGACTCTTTAAAGCCTCTTTACCTCTCAGCCTGGACCACTGTCCTTTCAGCTTGCCTGGCCCTCCTATGCCTGGCTGACTCCTCCTTACCTGTAGGTGGTGCTTCCTGAGAAGCTGCCCCAACCACTGTCCCTCCCCAGTGGCCTTTGTACTCTCTGTGCAAGTGTCTGTATGTGCATGTCTGTGCCTCAGCTCACCACACTGTCTTAGATGCTCCTGTAACCTCCAGGACCTGGCCCAGAGCCAGGTGCTAAAGCAGAACATTTTGACAAGGCCCCTTTCATATGGGGAATTTCTTGACATGTCCATTTCAATACATCAAAAGTTTTTGTTCCTAGTAATGGGTGCAGCTGACTCTGCAACCTCATCCACCTGTGATTGCTGATGATGGAGCCAAGGATGGGATAAGAAAGCCTGCATGATGACTGTTTTTTAAGTTTGTTTTTTAGGCCTTGTCAAAACACCCCAATGGCAAAGTGGCTACATCAGCCTATCCTGTGCCCCTGCATGGAGTAGAAACAACAAAGTTTTGTTGAATGGACAAATGAAATGTGACTTTGATGCCCCATCAGGTCTGGGGTTTGGTGGCGTTGCATCTGGGGGGTCCTCAAGCACCCAGCCTGTCCCTCAGGACACGGGCTGCACTCACTCCTGAGGGCCCTGCATAAACGGCCCTTCCAACTGCTCCTGCCCTCAGCAGCACTCTTCCCAGCCCCCAAAGGGCCCCTCTCCACTGACCAGCTGTGTGACCTCAGAAGAATGACCTCTGTTGATAATAATACTGATCCCCACAGAGTGTTGTGTGGGTGAAAGGAAATAATCATAAGATATACTAATGTCAGGTCTGACATCAGGGTTAATGAGCATGACTCTCTCCTTGCATACCTCTCACCTTCCTGGATGCATACCTCTCACCTTCCTGGATGCTACCAAAGGCGGGGGTGCTGGGGGGGTCTTTCCAAAATGCATATCAGACTCTGCTTCAAACTGGTGTGTGCTTCCTGCTGCTTCCAGAGTCTTCACTCAGCCTTCATGGCCTTCCCAGATCTAACCTAGCCTCCCTCTCCAGTACTGAACATACCACACTTGTTCTCTGTTCCTTCTGCTGGGAACCACCTGCCCACTCCTCCTGCCAGCTGACTCCCACTTCCTCAGGGAGGTGGGCCTGGGCCTTCCCCCGAGCCCAGTGTTCTCATGAGTGTCTACTTCTCTCTGTCTCTCACAAGGCTGTGAGCTCCTCAAGGGAAGCTCAGCCTCATTCATGGCCACAGCCAGGTGCCAAGCACAGGCTCACATGGAATCAACAGCCAAGAGCTACCTGTCAAATTGGATGACAAAAGCAGAGTCTCAAATCTCAGGTTTCCCTTGTTACTTCTGCCCAGCTTGGCCCCCCAACCCCTCATTTCCCAGCAGGGCCCCCTTACCAGGCCACCTGGGACATGGTGTAGGTGATGCAGCAAGTGTGGGTCCCCCTGAGGAGGGAACCCGTGCCCACGGTGTAGGCGCCCATGTTGTCAAAGCCCAGCCAGTCCCCTACTTGTAGTTGCGGCAGCCACAGGCCCTCAGCCACGCAGTCACAGCCATCAACCACTGGGCCCCACAGGCTGCTGCTGTACAGGGGCTGCTCCATGGATGGTTTCTGTAGAAGACAGGTATGGCCACATCAGCTCTCCTAGGCTACCAGAGCCTTAGCATTCCCTCCCTCAAAAGCCTTCCATGGCTCCCATGGCCAATAGGATAAAGACCGGATGGGCCTCTGAGCCTGGCATTTAAGGCCCTCCCCACTTCTCTGCTTCATTGCCTCTTACAATCTGAAGACACAATGCCTGTCTTAAATCCAGGTTCCAACACTTGCTAGCTGTGTGATCTTGGGCAGGATACTTTATCTCTTTGAGTCTCAGTTTGCTCATGTGTAAAAATGGAAGCAATAATAGTACCTGTCATAGGGCTATTGAAAGGATAAATTAGTACACGGAGAGTGTTTAGAAGTGTCTGGCACATAGCAATGGTCCAGTAAGTTAGCACTATTATTACTGTTGTTGTTTTTGTTATCACCTCTACTTCAGTCTTCACTGGCCACTTTCCAGACCGCGAGTGTCCACGACTCCATAGCCCTTCCCCCACACTAAAATCCAGCCTGACTTCTGGGCCAGCCCTGTGGTTACCTCTTCTATGAAGGCCCCCAGATGCCCTCATTCCATGTCAGGCCCAGTAACAGGTGCCAGAAGTACACAGGTGGGTTAAACCCACCATCCCCCAGGCTCTCAGTCTGGTGAGGAAAAAAGGCATCCAACAGACAATCACAGGGTAACTGGGCAGAGGTCACAGAGGATGCCACAGTGTAGACATGATTACATCCATTTCAGGGAAACTGAGTCTCTGAGAGGTTAAGTGATTTGCCCGAAGACACAACTACCAATGACATAAAATTTAAAGTTTTTTCTTAAGTGACTTCCAAATCCAAAAAAGAAATCTGTAACAAATACCATTTGAGGACAACCAGTATCAACCAAGATATCAACACAATTTGTCACAATGTAGGGATCCTGACAGGCAGGTACTAGAGGAGGAGTCACAACTGAAAAATGAACATGAGCAGATCCTGACTGTACCCTTCAAGGCCCCTCGTACCCCCTTCTGCTACAGTCGCTGTGTTCCAATTACCCCATTGCTCTGGGCTCCCCAAATAAACTCTGCTTCTCCCACCTCCTGTCTTCCCCCATGCTGCTCCTAGAGGCCCCAAATCTGCCAACTCTTATTTTTCCTTTTGATCCCAGCTAAAATGGCCTCAAGACAGACTTTCCTAAAGCTCCATGCTCCCCCCAAGCTTTGGCTTCCTAACATTTACCATAATTCATAATTAAATATTTGTGAAATATCTGCACTGACCTGTCTCCCCTGTCAGACTATAAATCCCACAAGCCCAGGGACTGTGTAGGTCCTGTTTATCCCCATCTCCTTCATGCCTGGCAGTCTGACATACTGTAGATGCTTGTTTGAATAACATTTTTTAAACAAATAAATGAATGGGATATACTTGTACATGAGTGATGAGGAAGGGAAGCAAAAAAAAAAAAAAAAAAAAAAAAAAATAAACCCAAGGAACCTAAAAAGGGAGGGGGAAAAAACCGGGGAAAAAAAAAAAAAAGGGGTATTTTTTTACATGGGGGAAGAGGAAGGGAAGAAAAAAAAAAAAAAGATATGAATCCAAGGAACCTAGAAAGAGAAGTGGAGAAAACCAGTGGAAAAAAAAGGAAAGGCATTTCATTTCCTTAGCCAGGGGTAGGAATGAGTAAAATCAAGAAAGAAAAGTCACAGTTTCCATAAGCAGAAATAATAGTCATATATTTGACCAGAACAACAACAACAAAACATATATTTGACCAGAGGTTAATTAATAAGCTATTAGTCTCATTAATAAAAGAAACTATGCACATGTTATTTAAATCAAGAATGAGAACTATCCTATATTCATTAATTCACTCAAGTACTTATTGAGCATTTGGGGGATACAGCAATGAACATAAGAAAAGCAAACCTCTTTTGCTCAAGAAGCTCAAGTTCTAGGAAGGAGAGATAAATAAATCTATATTCATATAACTTAACATTCTTGTTTATAAGCATTTTGTTAAAGAGTAAAATTAATCTCAAGTGCTCTGAATTATTTCCCTTAGCCCCAATCATTAAAAAAATATTAAGCTAGAGGGCTGCCTTATAACACCAAGGTCAAGGATTAAGACCACTGTATAGGCCAGCCACCAAAACAAACAAACAAAATTAAGCTAACTTTTAAAGATTGGGGGGGATGCTCTATAAATGTATCCACAAGGATCTTTGAGACAATAGATTTTAAAGGTTCTCCTGCAATAAAGAGAAAAGGTATCCTTGGATTATAAATTAGCACTCTCTCACTTCTTATTAGTGGTGTAAATAAAAAATAGGTGGAAAAAATATTTTAAAACTTTACATTATTTCCTGCCCTTTTACTATTTAAAGCCAAAAAAAAAAAAAGGAATCTGCAAAATAAATATTCCAAAAGCATGTGGCTACAAGCTTTTAAGTCTGATAACTGAGTGGAAATAGACAAGCGTCTGTCAAAATCCAAGATGCCCAGTCTGAGGGCTGGCCAGTTAGCTTTCTTGGTTAGAGCAGCGGTGCTGACAACACCAAGCATTGGGGTCAAGGATTTGGATCCCCTTACAGGCCAGCTGCCAAAAAAAAAAGAAAAAGAAACAAGATGCCCAGTCTGCCAGCCTCTGGGCCCTCTGAAAGAGGACGGCGGTTGCTTGTTCCAAAGCATGCCCACCACTACTTCACATCCCACCTGAGAGGCAGGTGGTACAGTTGCAATTCCCACTTTACAGATGAGAAAACTCAGAGAAGGGAAGGACCTGCCCCAGATTCTGGGGGGAGTTAGTAGAACTTTGAGCAGTCCCAGACAACTGGCCTCCTAGCTGCAGTCAGGTATCTTCCTCCAAGAGCCCCATATGTGAACAGATCCACAGAAGAAACAAGGTCAAACACTGAAAAAGGTACATGGCCCTGATGATATCCCTAACCCTAAATCCCCAACTTTTAAAGAATAAATTAATAATTCTTATACTACGTAAAGTGTACAAAAAATATTTTAAAAGTAAAAATGAGATGAACAAGGGCAACACACAAAAAGGAAAAAAACAACAACAAAACCTATGGTCAAAATCTCATTCATGAACATACAAGGGGTCTTCAAAAAGTTCATGGAAAGATTCATATTATCTTTTAATTCCATTTTTCCACAAATTTTTTAAACATATCCTTATATAGGCAAAAATCTGACATGAAACTTTAGATAGCCAAGTCCACACTCATATTTAAAGAATCATCTTCAATGATCAGATCATTTATCTAAAATGAAAGGCACTTCCTGTGGCAGAGCCCCTGTACCAGACAAAGTGTTTGAAATAGTCCTCTAGCAGTCTATGGCAGCACAAGGCTCCTTGATAACTCTACAGTCTCCCCAGGCCAAAATCATGGGATTCTTTGATGGCTCTGATCTCATGCCCTCCCCTAGGAGCTCAAGGCCATGATTAGATACACCAGCCCAGTGAACCCAGCTGGCTTCCTCCATCTGACTACAGTGCTTCTCGCAACTGGCATGTTCTTCACCGCCTGGTTTCTTCATTTGAGGTCACCTCCACCAAGTACACTCAGGATATCTACAAAGAGCTCCTCATTTCCTTGGTGGCCTCGCTCTTCATGGGCTTCGGAATCCTATTCCTGCTGCTCTCGGGTCGGCATCTACGGATGAGCTCCTAAGGGTACCAACCAGGCAGCTTCATTGAATTCCTACTTTTGTAAATTAATTTTTTTACCATTGCTGGAAGTGTCCCACCTGCTGCTCACAATAAAGATGTGTGACAAAAAATTAAATTAATTAAAATGAAAAGAAATGAAAGGTAGAGACAACATGAGCAACATCCATCACTGGCTTCATCATAATTTGAAAAATACAGGTCTATAATTCAAATTTAACTCTCCCAATACATTTCAACATGGCATTCAGTAGTCTGTTTTTTATTTAAACTACAGACAAAACAAAACCCCACAATGAAGAGAGACTATTTTAAGAGCCAACTCTAATTTCATGGAGATACACTTGCATGGCTTTATTTCAGAATCAGAAGCAATTATTAGTAATTAAAGTTTAGCCCCTCATTTTCCAAATGAAGAAACTAGAGAAACAAGGCTCAGAGAAATTAAGTAACTTGCCTAAGGCTACTCAGCTAGTATATGGCAGAGCCAGGTGTCGAACCCAGGTCTTCTGACTCCAAGTCGGAAGCTTTCTGTCATCATTCCTATTTTATACATCATGAGAAATGCTGGAAATAGCTATTAGAGAGTGGGGGCGGTGAAGAAACATAAATATATAATATATAGAAAAAGAAGAAATAAAATATTACATTGCAGATAATATGTTTGTCCACCTGGAAAATCCAAAGGGATAGGGGCAGTTACTAAAGGAAATCAATGTGTTTTAAGATGCAAGCCAGTGTCTCACCTCAAAAACATGGGAAATTTTCCACTCACAATAGTAATGAAAGTATTAAGTTATGAAATTCTTGGATGTACTAGGCCACAATAACACTTATTCAAAGAAAATAATTAAACCTTCATGGGAGAAATATGTGAGCTCTAACCTCTCCTAGCTAGAAACATTTAATAAAGTAAAAAAGATAATACTCTCTAGTTTAATAAATGGATAAAATAACTACTAATTAAAATCCCCAAGATATTTTTCTAAATGTTAGTAAACATGTAATAAAAGAATAAATGTGAGCCTACCAAAGAATGTTAATAAAGCAATGATGACAAACACAATTTTTGTTAAATATTTAATTCATACAAAGGAATATTTATATCATGTATAAGATATAAAAATAACAATAAAATAAATATCTGTATATCTGCCACCCAGCTAAAGAAATATAAATTTTCCAGTATCTTTGAAACCTCCTGGGCCGGCCCATGGCTCACTTGAAGAGTGTGGTGCTGACAACACCAAGTCAAGGGTTAAGATCCCCTTACCGTCATCTTTAAAAAATAAAATAAAATAAAGAAATCTCCTGCGTGGCTCACCCCAATGACATTCCCCTTCCC